GTGGGCTGCTCTTGCCCATGGCTTTCTTGCCTGGGGACTACAGAGCACCCACCTACTGCCATAAGGCAACAAGCTCTTGTTCTAGTGCACTCCCTTCCCTGTCATACAGCTGTCTCACAAACAGAAACCATGAGAACAGTTCATCAAAAAGTAAGGAGATAAAATATCCTTTGGAGGAAGAGGATGGAGGGAAGTGAGAGGAAGGAAAAGATGACAGAACCCAAAGTACTCCGGAGGAAGAATCAGGCTAATATAAGTCCAGAGTCAGCTGACTGAACAAAGTAACCAGGAAACAGTAGGGTATAATGTAAAGTCTGAAAAAGTTCAGCATAAGACAGAGCTGGTACCTGACATTACTGACCGCTGCATGTTTTCAGCTCATGCTGGTGTTTTGCAGTTTGCTATGCAACCAACCTCAGAGCTGGGTAGTGCTCTGGGATAAGCTGTGTATGGTTGTTCTTCATCTCTGTGGCTGAGCTGAAAGAAATAAAACTCAGCCATACAAACTCATAAAAACATCTGGGTCAAACTAACTCTAACGTTTCCATTCTCTTGTCAAAATGGGATCTGTAGAGCAAAATTGTTCAGGGCCAAAGCACATGATTCACTGAGCCCTAGATTAATGTTTTGTGTAGCTTTTGTAATAAACTTTTGGTTGGGGAATGACTCTGGTTTAGATGTTATTTTATTTTTGAAAATTGCAAGGAAGCTTCAAAAGGAAAAGCTGTTTGCAATTAAATGGTTTGAATTTTTGAAGATAGGTTGTTTTCAGTTGAAACTGTTCATCACATTCAAGTGAGCATGTAGGAAGTTCTTATGGCCACCATAATCCCATACAGAAATGTAATTCAACAGTGAGAGAGGTTGCAGAGGTAGCTTGGACTTGCCTTTGAGACTATTCACAGACCTTTGTTCTGGCTTGCTGTGTGCAAGTGGCACTGCAGAGACCTTCAAAGCATTGCACAGGCCTCTGAAAATCACGCTAACCCCCAGAGCAGTGCGTGAGAGTAACGTTTAGCTGCAGCGGGTTTTTTTCCTGCTAATATCCCCACATTACATCTTAGGTATACTTGGAGCTGGTGAGAAGCAGAGCACCTCAAGTGTCTGCATCCCATCCCTAAGTGGACCTGAAATGGAAGGGAGGAAGGCAGCAAGGGAGTACAAAATGAGAATGCGATAATGAAGGAAGTGAAAATTTAATCAGAGACTAAGTCTTGGAGGAACTCCCCTCCCTCTTCCACTTCCCCTCTCTTTGCCCAACAGCCTGCATTACAAAACCTGCGAGTTTCTCAGCACTTTTTCAGACACTACACTATTGGCAGAGATCGAGTTCATGCCAGGTCAGGATCACTCTGGATTCCATTTCTATTCCAGTACATTCCCATCTGAGCAGCAGTTGGCAGAGGTGTTGCCACCATAAAAATCCCAAATGGCATGAAAGTCTTGATGTATCTGTGGAACCACAAGGCCCCAAGATGTATATGAGTAACTAGATCACTGGAACCCTTCTAGCATTGAAACCACTGCTGAGTCGACAAGAGAAGATCCCCAAGAATCACAAGTGACATCAATCACATCAAAGGTGTCAGTACCATTTTACAGGCTGGAGCGTGATAAAGAGTGTCACAACATCACTGCCAACATTTGTCCCTTTTTGCATGTGTTATTTCTGATGACCATATTTGTGTACCAGACAAGAAAAGTAGTTAATTTCTGTGAGAATAAATGTGAAAAAAACATTTTATTGGAGGTAAATTTCACTGTTATGTGCCTTGTGCACAAATCTCTATATCTGATTTTACGCTCGTTTTAAGTTCCAGTCATCTCAGTAGCTGGGGAGATCATGGGGATGCTTATCCTTTGGGAAGGTACCTGGTTGAGAGTCCAAGCAGCGCTGCAGTACTACCTCCAAGCAAAGCTGCTAAGTAGCCCTCAAAGAAGGGATATTTGCTAGTTTGGTTGGGGAC